AACTATTTGATCTCTTTTAATATTAAATTTTGGTTAAACATTTTACCTTTAAATTTTTTGAATATATTAGGATAAAATTAGAGTATAATATTCAAAAGGGTTAAAGATAAAATTAAGGGAAAAATGCTTCCAGCCCCCAAAACTAATGAAAACAAGCTTCCCCCTCCCAAGACTTTTTCAACGCTCTCAAAACCCCCAAATTCGTAACAAATATGCACTGAGCCCCCAAAACACAAAGACCAAGAGTATTAAAATTTGAAGACCATAATACCCTTTCTCTCTCTTTTTCTTTCTTTATCTGTGATGATTTGAAAGGGTTCCTCCGTCCCTTTCCCCGATGGCGGCCGTCATCATGTCCCTCAGCAGGGTCCCCACCTCCGCGATGAGATTGCCCCCTCTGCCGTCAACCTCGCCGTCACGAGCATCGCCCCGCGCACCGGTATCCTCCCAGGATCCACATCAGCCTCCCCAACCTGGGCCCCACCATAGTAAAGCTGGAGAGAACGAAGCATAGTTAGGGTTTTTGATGAGGAGGTCGAGGGTCATGTTGAGCTCCACGCGGATGGCCGGGAACGTGACACGTGGAGAGACGCCGGTGACGGCGAGGATGAGCAGGAGGAGGTGATGAGCAAGAGGAGGATGACGAAGTTTACGGCGGCGGTCGTGGTGCATGTGCGTCGGATTTTCAAAACCTGGATTTTGTTTTAGGTGGTGGGCACTTGCTGTGATTTCGTGGCTTCCTCGGTTCGTTTTGAGATTGAGGAGGTGCAAGAAGGAAGTGGGTCATGTTAGTGATTTTAATATTTTTTTTATTTTTTGAAGGGTTAATTGAGGAGGTGGAAGAAGGAAGTGGGTCCTGTTAGTGATTTTAATCTTGTTTTTTTTGTTTTTTGAAGGGTTAATTGTTGGTAATTTTCTTTTTTCTTACTGATTTTTTGTAAGATTCGGAAACATATATAACAATATATTTTTAGAAAATGAATATTTCACTTTTAATTTTTAGGGAAATTATAATAATATTTCACTTTTAATGAGATTTTCAAAAGCCAAGTGATTTACGCGTTGGTTGTGAAGGTTACGCGTCGCTTGTTAAGGTTACGTGTTGCTTGTTAAGGTTACGTGTTGGTTGTTAAGGTTACGGGTTGCTTGTTATGGTTACGGGTTGATTGTTAAGAAATTTTTGCATGGAACTGATGATGGCTACGATATTCTACAAACCTTATTCCGGGTTACGGGTAACCTTATTGCTAAGAGCCTAAGAGCCTTGTTGCCAAGGTTACGTGTTTGTTGTTTAGATTACGGGTTTGTTGTTAATGTTACGGGTTTGGTTGTCAAGGTTACGGGTTGATTGTCAAGGTTAATTTCACAATAAACATGTAACATTAACAACAAACGCGTAACCTTGACAACAAACCCGTAACCTTGACAACAAACGCGTAACCTTAACAACGAATATTCTAATTAGTTGTAAAATTAACCTTAACAACAAACCCGTAACCTTGACAACAAACGCATAACCTTAACAACCAACCATTATTCTTAACAACGAATATTCTAATTAGTTGTGAAATTAACCTTGACAACAAACCCGTAACATTGACAACAAACGCGTAACCTTAACAACCAACCCTTATCCTTAACAACAAATATTCTAATTAGTTGTGAAATTAACCTTGACAACAAACCCGTAACCTTGACAACAAACGCGTAACCTTAACAACCAACCCTTATCCTTAACAACGAATATTCTAATTAGTTGTGAAATTAACCTTGACAACAAGCCCGTAACATTGACAACAAATGCGTAACATTAACAACCAATCATTATCCTTAACAACGAATATTCTAATTAGTTGTGAAATTAACCTTGACAACAAACCCGTAACCTTGACAACAAACGCGTAACCTTAACAACAAAAGTGTAATCTTAACAACCAAAATATATATACATATAAATCCCAACGTGTAACCTTAACAACAAACACGTAACCTTAACAACAAATCCGTAACCTTAACAACCGACCACTAATCTTAACAACCGACGACAAACCTTAACAAAACACAATAGGAGACAAATAATCAAACTTCAGGCTTAACATAGATTCTATTTATGCCATAAAGGAAAACATATCTCAATACTAAAACCTCACACACGCATAAATTAATTCGCATCCATCAAAGAACACCAACAACAAACTACAACCCACAATCAAAGATACTCTTTTTTTATTCCCACATACAATAACACTATTATTTAGTAAAAACAACCTGAAGCAAAGAAACAAGACAAATGCTACCTAAGTGGTGAGGATGGGGGGCATGTAATCAGACTTGGTTCAAATAACACGAGCCTTTGTATCGGGGAAAAACTCCGTCCTTGGGAGCTCTGTAACAACTCCTTCACTGCTTACTCCAATGGGATAGCTAAGTAAATGTCCAGGGAGATCGCGTTCCTGAGAGTAGAGATCCCAGTATTTGTCAGCGATACGCTTCACTTTCTGTACAAACTCGACGCTCTCTAGATGGAGGAAGAAATCAGATCGTCAATGCCGGGGAGACGGACTGCTCGATGATGGCGACGTTGATGTCGGGGTTCTTGGAGAGCTCGTAGGCGCAGGAGAGGCCGACGGATTCGCCGCCACCGCCACCGCCGCCGCCGCCGACGGTGTTAGCGTAGGTGATTATGTCGGACATGTAGCGGCGGGTCATCTCGCGGGAGACGATGGATTCTTTGATGGGGCGGAAGCAGATGGAGGAGAGGTCGTAGGATGTGGAGATTTGGGGGCGGAGGATGACAATGATAGGGAGGAGAAAGATTGGGTTTTGAAGGCGGAGATGAGCTTGAGGCCATGGAAGGAGGAGAAAGAGAGGAGGTTGCGGTGGTTAGGTTTGGAGAGGAAGGAGGATGTGACAATGGAGGGTATTATGGTCTTCACGTATCTTAATTTCTTGGGTTTTGTGTTTTGGGGGCTCAGAGAACACAGAGTTTACTTTTGGGGGTAAAACACACGTTGAAAAAGTCTTGGGAGGGGGAAGCTTGTTTTCATTAGTTTTGGGGGCTGGAAGCATTTTTCCCTAAAATTAATTATAGAAAGCTTTTCTCAAACTAACTATTTTTATAAGGAGCTGTCATAATAGATAGATGAAAACCACACAAATTACATAACCTATACTCAAACCCTAGTTGCACATTCCGACTCGGCTAGCATGAACTCCAAAAAAACTTCAAGATATCCACCTAGGGGCGCAAAAAGATTAGAATATTGGAAATTGTTGTGGATATGAAAAGTTAATTTAAAATTGGATGAATAATAGTGATAGATGCACTGCTATGACTTTAAAGTTTTGATCGGATACGTATATGTATATTACAATATTTTTCGGATACAAATACGATTATTCAGATTTTTTTATTCTAACGCTATAAAGATGTGCAGTTGGGCCGGCCTAGTAGATCACAAGCCATGTAGCTGCCTTCGGGTTTGGGGGATACCGCATCCAAACCCGCAATCCGAATGGGCGGTTCCAATACCGAAGGATCCCTCGCTTCGCAAATCGCGATTCCAGAATCAATTGCCTTCGCGGTCGCGCGCTTCTCCTTCAAAACCTCGCCGACCGGCGATCATCAGAAGCTCAAAATCCCCTTCATATCCTCCGGCGATCATCGAAACCTCGCCTCTTCTCCATCTCCAACACCGTCTCCTTCAGTTTATTGGCGAGCGGCAGATTTCATCGGCGCCGGCGTCTAAATCTAATCATTTATCCACAAGGTCGGCTCGAAACCCTAATTTTTTTTTAATTTTTTTGGCAAAAGCGCTGATTTTCAGGAAAAGGCAAAAACTTTGTTTCATTAGCTTGAGATCCTCGTAATTTCATATCTTTATGAACATCGACACATTTTTTGGGTATAATTCCATATCTTGTTGAGATGATAATATGCACCACTTTGTTAATTTTATTTGTTGACAGGGGTCTCTAAATTGAATTATCTTGTTGAGATGATAATATGCACCACTTTGTTAATTTTATTTGTTGACAGGGGTCTCTAAATTGAATTAGAAGAATATCATATTCTAAAACACCACTTTGTTAATTTTATTTGTTGACAGGGGTCTCTAAATTGAATTAGAAGAATATCATATTCTAAAATTTGACCTTGTTTTTATGCAAAATAGAGAAGATAAAATATTACATTTTGCCTGATTCATACCCTTTTGACAACTATCCGGGTTAAATCCGTTGATATATTATTCAGTTGGATACTTATATGAGTTTTTCTTACCAAAAAAGAAAAAAAAGAAAAAAGAAAAAGGACTAGCGGCGCAGCTTGTTGCCCGCTTGTCATCATTACATGTGTAATTGTTTATCGCATTAATATTATTTTTAGAAAAATGACAATAAATAGAGAAAGTAAAAGAAAAGAAAAGAAAACTTACCAAAAAAATAATTTCCCCCCTTTTATTGTGCATTGGAATCTTGTTCTCGTATCACATAGAAACTAGTGTGCACCAGTGCAAAGCAATGCCTTCATTTTTTATTTTTGCTACAGTAATTCTGTATTTAAATATATTTTTTTGTAAGTATCACAATAACATTTTTAAATGCTACAGTATCCCCCTGAGCTACAGTAATATTTTTAAATGCTATAGTTCCTGCCCTTGCTACAGTAATAATGCTACAATATTTTTTTTATTGTAACATGAATATTGTATGTTGAATCCTCCTGTCTATACTATAGTAACAAATGCCACAATAATTTACTATAACATTTACTATAGCATAAATAGTGAATCTTGGGTCCTCCAGTTATTATAAAGGAATAGATAAAATGAATATGATAAATACCACTACACCCCTGTTACCATCTCCTGGTACTAGTGATCTACATGGTAATGAGCACTAATACGTTCTAATTTACGACGAAAAGTTATAATTTAGAGTCGAGTAGATAACGCATAAAATTAAGTTGGTAATTTCCCTCTTCAAGGCCCAAGGAGATATGTATACGAAGATGCACATTTCTATGGGCACTTTGCTAGAATATCTAATACACCAGTTCTATCATCAGAGAGGGGGAGGAGAACATGAGTTCCATTATCTACACCCTTATCTGAGCAGGAATCAAATTACTAGATATATACTTTCTGCTTTAGAAACAACAAACAAAAAACATCCCTCACAGAAGTTGTGCCCCTACTGATCCGGACATCCTAAAAGCCCCAAACCCCCATGAGCTGCACACTTCCCTCCATCATCTCCTCCCCCTCCTTAGCTTTCTCCCCTCCCCCCGACCCTCTCCTGCTGCTGCCACCACCATTATTGACACCTTCCTGCCAAACTCCGTCGTCGCCAGCATATCTCCGATGGTCCCCAACTCCGGGCACTCGCTCCACTCCGACAAGCCACTCGTCAACTCCGACTCCGCCGCCTTCCTCCTCCCCCACAATCACCAAATCGTACCTCTCACTCATATCCCTCACCACCGCCACCGTCCCCCTCCCCATCCGTCACCAGCTTCTCCACATACACCACCCCCTCCAAACTCCTCGTACTTCATTCTCAGCTCTCCGATAACCTCATCGTCCTCCTCGTCCACCCCTTCCTCCCCCGCCCT